CAAGTATACCCTATCATGCAAACCATTCCTTGGGCACCAGCCCGACATTGGACCTTGGTCCTGAATATCATACTAGCAAACAGTTACCAAGGCTAAACCCCGGTTCTTCATACTCATAACTACATGGGCTGGCATTGTGGCCGTAGACCCATTCACACGAAAGGGAAACTTACCTCGCACAGCAGAACCCTGCTGATACTCCTCTGGCTGCTGACTGCCAATTCCCGAACTGCTGACCCTTCGGCTTCTCGACTACCAAAACCAAACATCACTTAGTCAAATACAAAACCCTTTCGGGGGTAAAATGACCATTCTACCCCTAAACCAACTTGGTCCATATCTAAGGCCCAAGACTAAGGCCCAACATTATGTAAGCTTCCCAAGCCCACTAGTGGCCCACTAATGGCCTAATTTGCTACATTGGGACCAATCCCTTTATTGGGCCTTAACTTAAGCCCAACATATATACTTGACCCATAATCACTGACTCCTGATGGCCCATTAAGGCCCAAAGACCTATAGTCCAAAGCAAAGCCCACACCGAGGCCCAAATACTCAAGGCCCAAACCTAGAAACATATATGGGGCATACTTCTAGGTACGCTGAGCGTACTGGTTGATGGCTTGTACACCGTGCGTACCTCCTTATACGCCCAACATACAACCCTGGTAAGTCAACTTTCTAATAAGTGCTTAATACCCCGATTCAGAAGCTACAAACTCAGATCCTAGTCTTATTCCGTGTCTTAAACCATAAAGTTGTTTACTTGATGGCTTTCATGACTCACATAAGCTCAAACTCCAAAAACAATAATCTATTTCCATGGAAAAAGGTCTTAACTCATGCATGAACTCATTTGCACCTTCAAGATGACAACTTTACTACTCATGGGACACTTTTAGCTCTGAGGGTGGCAATCCCAAGCTCAAGGACAAAGTTTTACCATAAAGGCCTAATCTGTGGACCTAAAAAGGTCCAAAGCTCCTTATACCCAGATCTAAGCTTCTATGAGGAAATTTGGAAGCTTTTTTACCTTCAGAGTGTCTCAAATGATGATGTTATCCCAGATCTATAAGCTCTGGCCTCCAAGGTTCCTCCTTGCCACTCTTTTTCTTCTATCTTCCAAGCTTTAAACCACCAACTAAGATTCCCAAGGTCAATATCTCACATAATGAAGGGTTGGGGCGTTCTAGGATCTTTCTGGAGTTGGGGAAGCTGATAAGGAGGCTAGGGTTGGAGCCATTATGTTATTTATATAGTGGCACACCCTAAAAATAGGGTTTTGAGGCTCTGAGCATACGTTGGGCGTACGCCTCTCAACACCGTGATCACTTGCTCCATTATGTTGGGCGTAACCCAGCTTACGCTGGGCGTACCCATGCGTGTTCCAAAAATGCATGCATGGCCTTCCATGCGAACTTTTCTCCATAAGGGCCATTATTGCCAAAATCTTCAAAGTGTCATGACTCCTTCATTCTAGATCCGTTTCTGATTAACTTTATATCTACGGAAAGGTGGCGAGAAGCCCTATGCTTCTAACAACACACCCTGGCCCGAAACCTTCTTGAATAAAACTCAAGACCCATATATGACCAAAATGTCCCCTAGCCTTGACTTTTGGATCCATAAATGAACGCTTTTCCGAACGGGGTGTTACATGAATCCTATCTAGATGATAAATATACTGAATAGATATACTTCCAATACCAACCTCAATTTACCACCCATAAATAGTGACAATAGCAGTGCAGTATGAGCTAAAGATAATAGTTGCAACCCGGAGGATATAAATACAGTGTAGGATTGAATTGAAAAAGAACAACCTAGTAAAATTTTTATGTTTCAACATTAGTTCAAGCTCAGATATCAAAGTGGCAGCAAAAATGCTAGCAAAATTTCCAACTTGAACTCAAGTTGAATTCTGCATTTCAAGAAATCAAATGTGCATCAAGAATACAATCATTTCAGACAAAATGGTTGGATAAAGCATTGAGACGAGTACACATGAATCATGATTAATCAATTCATAAACTAAAAAGCACTAAGACCAACAACAATTTAAACCAAGCTTCCTCCATATCTGATTCTAACACAACTGCGAACATGACTCTCAATGTCAAATACTGAGTGACTTAAAATTATTAACAAACCAACAAATGCGATTTTATAAATATATGTGAAGAGATTGGAAGTATCATAGAAATTTGCCAACATTCCAATTTCAATCACCAGAAAATGACAGATGAAGAAACCCTAACTTCATTGGAGAGGTGAGGAAGTGAGTAGGACGTACTTGAGAGAGAGATTTATAAATAATTTCAGATTCAAAATGCAAATAAAATAAATACTTACAGAAATTGTTCATGATCAACGAGAATGAAGCCTAAATCATTAGAGGATTTCAGATTCAACATCAATCGGTTATAATGACTATGAAATATAGATCGATTATGGATCATTGTCTGAAGCTGAGAAGGAGACGATGAAGAAAGTGATATGACGATGCAGGTGGTGGTCGCTAGTTGATGTACAATCCTCTAGATTCGGCGAGGATACTATCGCCACCAACAGAGGCAAAGATAGAGAAAATGTCATGGCCGGAGAGAGGAGGGAGACGGTGAGGACAAGTGGACGACATACGTGAGAGAGGGAGAGAGAGAATGAGTTTTAGGGATGTGAAAGTCTCATTCCCACTTTTGTTGATTACAAGATTGCCATAAAAAAGTCACAGTCTTTAAATTTTTTTTATCTGGTTCACTTTTAGTTCTTAACTCTTCGGGAATATACGAATGATCCTTTATATATATATATATATATATATATATATATATATATATATATATATATATATATATATATATATATATATATATATACCATTCAAAATGTTATAAGTTTTTTCTCTCTATTTCTTTAATTTAAAAAATAAACTGTCAAAGTTTACTAAAATTTTCATGTTTACTCATACTTTTTATCTTATCGTTTACGACTATGTTTCTTACATCTAATCATCCAACTTTTTTTATATGTTTGGCTTAAGTTTTATTTTTAACGAATTTAGCCAAAAAATGATTTTTTTAATATCTTTACAGCTAGGTTTTAATATGTGTTTTCCAAAAAAAAAATACAACCTTTAACTATTTGTACACTTTTATATTTTACAAAAAAAAAATAAAATAAAATAAAATCTTTATATTTTTGTTTTTATGTATGTTTATTAGTAACCTTGTTTTTACAAATTAGTTTTTATTTTTAAATCTTTTTTCCAAATTTTTATATATTCGTTTAAAAGATATATTCATTTCACTTATCAAAACTATATACTATAAATTTGATCTTATATTATACATATATAAAAATTCTAGGCATCTTACATATTTCTAATTATAGTATTAAATAAAATATGCTAGTAATGTTTTTTATTTTTGGAGTTTTGCCGGTTTGACATTATGACACTAACAAAGGTTTTATATTCACATAAAATTTTAATTTACATAAAATAAATTATAAAAATTGTCCTTGTAATTTATATAGAAAATGTCATTGGTTTTTTTACATGAACAATCCATGTGAAATTAAAAAAATAATAATAATAATAATAATAAAAAAAAAAGTGTTACTGCAATTTATAAAAAATCTATAAGTTTAATCCCTACACTTTTCTATTCAGAAAATTTTGGTTCCTCCAAGCAGTTTACATGAAATGATAAAACGAGTAATAGCAGTATTTTTCTTTTATGTGGACTAAAACATATTTGTTTTCACACACACAAACACACACACAAAAAAAAAGGAATTTATAATTAAACATAAGGAACCAAAATACTACTATATACACATAACACATTTAATTAAACATAAAACTATAAAGAACTAAAGTACTATTTCAGTACGTTTCATGCTAACCACACATATCACATATGAGTTGAAAAAGATTACAATTCACTTAAATTTGAAACTCATTACAAGTTAATTTCTTCCAATAAAAATTCTAGAGCCAAGTCATTAATAATTAGTACTTTTTCACCCTCCACCTATCACCATCGATCTCCCCCTTACAGCTATACTGCAACAAATTCAAACCTTTACCCGCACCCATAATCTCACCGACGGCGCGTGTCTTCCACGTAAATCTCATAGCCGCTCTTCTAACTATATATTCTTGTCTTTTTTATTTCCTCAAATTGCACCACCATCTTCCATTGTTTTACTAGAAAAATGCTCCACCATAAATAGAAGGATTATATACCATTAATGTAAATAAATTACATACTTAATTTACTAAACCACACTATTAACCACTTGACCTTAACAATGTATGTGCAACATCGCTTTTTTAACATATTCTTTCTTTTTTTAGAGAATAAAAATTCAATGATTAAACCACATTCATACAATTTGATCAAAATATATGCTTTGGTTGAAGACCATTTAATTTAGTAACTTGATTAAAAATAAGTTTTGGAATTAATTGAAATGCCTACGAATCGAAGTGAGATTTCTAGTAAAATCTTAATTTCTTTAATTTTCAAATTCGAACATTCTACATTACAATTAAGAAAAAAAAAAAAAAAAAAGGAGTAAATTACATAATTGTCCTCACATTGTAGTTAATGCCACCTCATTACCAATTTACAGCTATATGCCAACAATGAGAAACAGTTTTTACCCTAAACACCACCGGCGGCGCTTCAATCCCACGTAATTCCGGCCACCGATCTTCTCTCTTCTTTCTACATTCCAAAAACCTCGGGCTTGTTTTTCACATTTCTTCTATAAAAAAAAAAATCTAACATTTTTACAAAAATCAACAACAATCCTCTTCAACTTCAATTAGAATAATCAATGAAACAACTAATCATAATCACTACTACTCTTACATTCTCAAGACGAGAAAAAAAAATTAAAAAAATAAAGCTGTAACAGAGGATGTTGAGACAATCAAATCTAGAACTAACTACCTATCAAAATTTCTAGAATAAGTTATGAATTCGAGTTTTTCAACATGGGTTTTCTTCAGGAGGAACAAAGAAATCGGCGTCGAGTTTATTCCGGCAAACAGGGCAAACAGGGTTCTTCGAGAGCCAAGTATCGGCGCATTGTACATGAAATCCATGGTTGCAACCGGGAAACATCCGAGCAAGTTGCTCCGGCTCGACATCATCCAAGCACACGGCGCATTCCGTTCCCAACACCAGATCCTTCCCCATGGTGGTCGGCAGTTTGGCGAGTTGGGTGGAGGAGAGGCCATTTTCGGTGGCGGGTTTTACCGGATCATCCCGATGGTAGTGGCGAGCGGCGTAGCACAGCAAGCAAATGTAGACGAGGAAAACAGCGCTCATACCAGCACATGGTAGGAAGAGAGCGAGGAATACTGATATCAGCATTTCCTTATTCCTTTCCCGGTGGTGTTCTGCCCTGTCCGGCGGAGGCGGAGGCGGAGGCGGAGGTTTAGTGTTGTTCTTGTGAGTTCTGAATTCTCGACGAATGGAACAGCAGTGGAGAAAGGGTTTTAAAGGGCGGAAGGGGGGGTGGGGGAGGGGTAGGGTAGGGGGTAGGGTGCGCACCGAGGGTAAGTTTCCTGGGAAAGTGATGGAAATAGTAAATTACAACTCAGTATATTGCAGTATACAACTGGGGAAGTCTTTCAAATGATTGTCATCATTAATTTTGTTATTTCTTATATTTATATTTTTTCCTCATACAATATTTATTTAATGATATATATATTTAATAAAAAACTAAATGGACCCCACCTCTCCCGTCGTTTTTTTTCCTTTTTCCACAGTAATTAATTCACCAACAAACCACACTCATCACACTCGATACGAATTTCACAACTCAAACTACTCACTAGAAACTTATATATATTTTGTTTCAAAGTTTAATAAAAACAACTATTCAAAGTATGATACAAAATCAAATAAAATTGAATACAATATCATATAAAGGTTAATAGTGTAGATTAGTTATAATTGTTAAAATTTCTTCATTAACATCCGTCCCAAGTGTTGTTGAGTTGTAGAGACATATATAATGTGGCACAATATCATCCATATAGCCTTCCTCGCTATAACAACAATTTCTATAGTGTGGTTTCCGACAAATTTATTGGTATATAAATCGATTAAAATGTTAATTCACCATAAAACTATAAGCACATTAAAATATTTGTGACCATAAAGGACTTGTGCTTTTAAAAGTTGATTGAAAATTTGTGTTTTTCTATGAAAAAGTATGAAATAGAATACACAAAATGCACGGATGTCAACGATGATGAGGTCGTCAAAATTGGAATGATATTTGTTGGGACAACAATGTAGATTTTAAAAAATATTAGAGGATGTATGAATTTATCATAAAAACAAGTTTTACCAAAACAAAACCATAGCATAGCATCTTTTGGAGTGTTGAATTTATTTTTTTTAATTTGAAAGCAAAATGATTATTTTATAAAATTCTAGGGACAAATCACATAAGAACAACTATATTTTAGATATTTTCCTAATAAATCATTGATTTTTTACAATACATGCGATTTAAATATTTATTACGGGACAAATCACATAAGAACAACTATATTTTAGACATTTGTTGGATCGAAAAAAATGTTGCAGCTGTATTTATTGGGTAAAAAAGCAATGGTTAATCCGAAAGTACTTTAAATATAATGTTTTTTTAAATTTCATTTACCCTGATTCAATGACTTTGTTACCTGATAATAGTATAAAAACAACAATTAACCTGTTTAATGTTCAAAAAAACGCCAGGCACACGATATTGGGAAAAGTAGGCTGAACCAAATATAAAAAATTCTATTCTAAGAAAACAAGAAACCTTGAATGTATATTTTTTCTCTCTTTCATTTGAAAAACATGCAAAGATAGAAATGGGAAACACATGGTTAATGGGGGGTTTTTTTGATGAAAGAGAAAAAAACATACATGAATAGAAAAAGACGTGAATTTGATGGAGAGGAAAAAAGCAGCTCAAGATATTTAATTTTATTTCTTTAATAAATTAAATAAACTAATTAGTTTTTATAGTTTTAAGATCGTTTAGACGTGGACAATAGGGATGCGATTTTGAATCGGAAAACCGGAATCGGAACCGGAACCGTTAGAACCGGAATATATAAAACCGGTTCCGGTTCCCAGTTTAAAATTTGACTTTATCCGGATAATCCGGGTTTGGGTTCGTCGGATCCGGGTAAACCGGGTCTAAAAATTGGAACCTGTGTTTGGAACCGAAACCGGTTTTTGTGAAACGTTTAAAAGATGCATATCTCATTCGTTTCAACTCCGATTAGCATGCGATTTTTTCCAACATATATTTTAAACTATAAATTTTTCATTTTTAATTTTATATTCAATGATTTACAGTCCCCCAAAGTCGAGATATCAAAGCTGGAAGTTTTTAATTTTTTAGTTTTTTTTTTTTTTGTATTCGGTGAAAGTTTTAAAACATGTATATCTAATTCGTTTGAAGTCGAATTGACATGTGACTTTTTCCAACTTGTAGTTTACAGTTTGTACATGATTTTATACTATAATTTTATCATTTTTTGTTTAATATTTAATGATTTACAGTCCTCCAAAGTCAGAATATCAAAACTGGAAATTTTTAACTTTTTAGCTATTTGTTTTTATTTTGTATTCTGTAAAAATGTTAACATATGCATATCTCATTCGTTTAAAGTTGAATTGACATGCGGTTTTTTCCTAAATGTATTTTAGAGTTTGAACATGATTATAGACTATGATTTTGTTAATTTTGGTATAATATTCAATGAGTTACAGTCCCCCAAAGTCAGGATATCAATATGAAAAATTTTAAAGTTCAACCCACTAAGTAGTAAGTAATTACCAAAAAACTTCTGTTTTTTCTGGTTCTAAACTCACTTTATCTAGTTCCAACCTACTAACTTTGATGTTTTCGGGTTTTCCGGTTCTAGACGCACTTTACCCGGAACCGGTTCCTACATACCGGTCCGGTTTCCGGTTCTTCAAAATCTCATTACCGGTTCAGGGTTTTCCGTATCCGGGTCCATTCGGTCCCGGTTTGGACCCACTTTCATCCCTAGTGGACAACATACTATTGTATATTATCACACCTAAAAAATGTCATATTATCATTCTAGTCATATATGGGTGTTCCATCCCTCCCCCGATTTGATTTTTTTGTCTTTTGTCTTTTTTTTTTTTGTCTTTTTTTGTTGCTTTTAATTTTTTTAGTTATTCTTGTTGTTGTTGTTGTTATATATTTTGTATAAAATTTTAACATTCGGACCATATTATAAATTCGAACGTCTATATAAAATTGTTTTTAAATATTTTATATATTTTAATATTAATATTATTATTGTTATTATTATTATAAATTTCGAACAACATTTAATAAATCGAACATTATAAATTCGAATGACTATATAAAATCGGAACAAAAACAAAATTTGTCCCTATTAATTGATGCAGTATTACAATTACGTGGTAATAACTTGTGTAAAAAAAATCAGAACAAAAACAAAGTTTGTCCCTATTAGAAAAACAAATTATATATATATATATATATATATATATATATATATATATATATATACACACACACGATTTTATATCAAAAGAGAAAAAAATGATGTCAAATCAAATGTCAAAATTTTGATATGATTGACTTTAAAGGGTAAAGGTGGTTAAGAGTGACATTTAGACTACTCGGAGTGCGCTCACTCCCGTTATTGTGCCTCATAACACGTGATAACGTCAATAAACACCGCTCATCTCTCTTGTTATTACATGTTAAATGATTTTGCGTTAATTCTCGTTACCACTATCACATTTGGTGACGGCGTTTTTTATTTTTTAGCCTAGTAACTCGTGTGGGCGTTGCCCACACTCACCTCTTTTTTGGTACAATCCAACTAAATAACATATAATAATACCCATTATTTTTTATTTTATTTTTTAAAATTTTTGACGTTTTTAGTTTGTATATTTCCATTTTTTTTTATTTATGTCATAATATTTGTAATTGTCATATAAATTAAAAATAACATTTAAAAAGTATAAATAAAATTTTAAATCTCAAATTAAAAACGACATAAAACAAAATTACAACTAATGATAAAAACATTTAAAAAACTAAAATCCAAAAAAAAAAATTATCTAAATTAGTCATTTTCAGTGCTATAGTAAATATGATTTGTCAAGTCTTCTCGAAGTTGTTTGGGTTTTCGTTGTTCTTGAATATCAACGACTCTATGTAAGTATTATGTTGTTCCTGTTTGAAATTGAATGTGTCCAGATACTCTATGTTGTTTTGTCATTTATCTTCAATCATCATGTTATGCATTACGATACGTGCATACATATGCATACATAATATCTCTACGAGTGTCCAACTTATATAGTCATGTCATATATTCAACTATGTGTCGTTTTTCTTTCAGAAATCCGAAAGCAAGTTTCAAGTCCTTACATGCTTCTTCTTATCTTCTCTTGAAAAATTTGTCTCTTGGTTCTATCGGGTATCGAAACGCCTTCATAAACGTAGAATATGGTGGGTATATTCCATTCGTGAGGTAATACCCGAACTTATACTTATGTGCATTTACTGTGAAAGTAGCATCTGATGCATTTCCTGTCAGAAAGTCCTGAAATATTGGTGATTGATCAAGAACGTTTACGTCGTTGTTAAAACCCGCAACTCTGGAAAAAAAACATGTCAAATCCATAAGTATTGTGATGCAATAGCCTATAATGCTAACGAAGACGATCCAAAATGACCACTTTTGTATTGACATTTGAACGCCACATGACAATTTCTCTATATCTACTTTTTGCAATCAATGCTTCCAAGCATACCCGAAAAACCATGACGTTTTTCATGTGCAGTATATAGTTGTTGCATGTCATTTAATGAAGGTTTGCGCAAGTATTTATCACCGAAGGTTTCGATAACACCTCTCGCAAATCTATACAAACTTTATCGTGTAGCTCGTTCTGACATTCTCATATAGTCATCAATAGAGTCGGGAAACTCCCCAAAGTCATAAGCTTGATTGCAGCAACACGTTTTTGCAACCATGTAAAACCTCGTTTACATGTCGCATCATACCTCATTTGGAAATATTCATACCTAAACATAAATTTAATTTTAAAACAATTATTTAATAATCTAAAGAGCATATATTTAATTTTGTAAACAATTATTTAACAATCTAAGAAACATGTATTTAATTTTTAAAACAACTATAATTATGGTACCTGCTTTCCATTGCATTGACTATTCGTTGAAACACATTTTTCCACAAACGAAACATTTTTTTTTAAAAATCACTAGGTTGGTAGACACAATTATCCGCAAAATAATCGTCTAATAGACGTCTATG